CTTCCATCCAGGGATACTAGCCCCTAGATGAGTGGTCCCCAAACTTGGGCCTCCAGATGTTCTTGGACTACAACTCCAAGAAGCCTTTGCCACCACTTTTGCTGGCCGGGATTTCTGGGAGTTGAAGTCCAAGAACATCTGGTGGCCCAAGGTTGGGGACCACTGCCCTAGATAGCTCCTGAAATCTGTCAAGATTCACAGTGGCTCAGTGTTTTGTTCCCCTCTTGCTCCTCAGTTTCAACCTAACGTGTTGAAAAAGGAAGCATTTCCGTCCACTGGAAGTATTTGGTTTCTGGTTGACAGTACATCTGTGAGAAGAAATGTAAATTAACTAGAGGGCTCTGTTTTGTGATCTTTAATAGCAGCTCTGGCAAAGGCAGCCGTGGGCCAAGGCTTCCTATATAAAGTCTAAACCCTGGACCGAGGGATCTTTTACAAGGAGTGAAACCTTTAAAGATGGATGTTGGATACGGAGGCGTGTGTGGTCCTGACATCAGACGGAGCAGATGTTAAATTAAAATAGCGATGGGTGTCTCTTTGTGAGGAGGAATGTTCGTAAAATATCTCTCATTATTCTCAACCAAAAATTAAAGTTTAGTCAAGGTGTCTTGGCTGGTGTCTAACCCACTTGCTCAGGGCACATTGGCCTTAGACAGTCCAGATCTGGCACTCCTTGCTGGTTTTCATTTTTTAATAGCAAACACAATTTGTTCCTTCTTCTAGACATTTTTGCATTGCGTATTAACAGGGCACAGCCTGTGAAAGGTGTTGGCTAAACTTGATGGCAAAACAGCTGTTATTTTACATGGCACAAGACTAGACCTAGAGTAAATAATATATTTCCACTGCAAGCAAGGAGGGGGGAGGAAATGCCCTCAAATGATTGATTCTCTTTGTATTCTCAGGGAAAGACAGATGTGACCCAGAGATGTAGATGTATTTTATTATTTTAATAGAATAATTATATGTTGTTTTTAATATATGTGCAAAAAGAAACAAAAAATGAAAATAAAAAATACATCCCCCCCAAAAAAAACTTAATAACAAAAAATCACATAAAATTAACATGCCTCCATAGCACACACTGGGACCGTTTCAAGATATAACCATTTTTTCTCCATTTATGGAGCCTCGTTCTCCTTCTAAGACTGGACTGACACTTGTCAAGGTGCACCTACCCTTCCCTTTTAATAATAGAAAACTGATACATTCTCCCCAGATATGAATAAAATTATTCTTATTTATCAAGCCCTTTAGTGCAATACTACATGTTAACTTATTGTTAATAGCTGCAATCCAAAGTTCTCTATACCATTCATCTGACTGAAAATCATCCTTTACTTTCCAATTCCTAGCTACTATTACTCTTGCCACGGGCGCAGTAATTTGGGTCTCTGATTGCAGAGCCAGAGGTTAGGAGTTTGATTCCCCCACTGTGTTTCTTTGACAGGTGTTGGACTTGACGATCCTCAGGGTCTGTTCCAGCTCTGCAGTTATAAGATGATTATTATTACTAAATTTTAAATTCATTCTTTCATTGTCCAACTCCATTGCTCCTTGTCAAATATTGATAAAAGTACTATTTTAGGACATATATTATATATGTTTTTTCCCCCAAACCGGGAGCCTGAATTTGCAAAGGAACTAGCATAGCGATGTTTTATGAGGTCCTTAAGCAAGATAACCCCAAGTGGTTTTCTCACACAAATACACACGTGCACGGACTGACTCTTGACTATCACACCCAGCCCAACCCATGTCACTGGCCAGGACAAGCGGAGAATGCAGTGGAACCTCTGTCTCTTGTCCCACCTCTTATCACTGCTTACACACTTCACAGCAGACTGAAATAGCCGGATAGAAGTCTGACCAGGGAGCTATGAGGCTGATAGAGCAGTGGTCCCCAACCTTTGGCCTACAGATGTTCTTGGACTTCAACTCCCAGAAATCCTGGCCAGCAGAGGTGGTGGTGAAAGATTCTGGGAGTTGTAGTCCAAGAACATCTGGACGTCCAAGGTTGGGGACCACTGTGATAGAGGATCCCCTGATCAACTTACCAGGTGCACAACAAAGCCAGCCTGTATCGTGCACTCTTTTTGTATTATTCCCATGCTTGTAAGTAGAGATGGTCATGAATTGAAAACATGGTGATTTGTCTTGATTTGTAATTTGTCAGAGAATCACAAATCATGAATTTATGAATGTTTTCCTGACAAATTGATGAAGGGATTTGTCAATTCATATTGATTTTGAAACCCTATAAAACATCTTCCCAGGCACCTGGAGATTCCAGAATCTCAGAGATGCTTCCCCTGACTCTCCTCTACAAGGCTTGCAAGTCTGGTGAAGATTGGGTTTTGGACGTCCAAGTTATATACCCACAAAAAGGGTCTTCCCAGGAAATTTTCCCCCAGGCACCTAGAGACACCAAAATTGCAGAGAAGCTTCTCCGCACTCTTCTCTAGAATTCTTCAAAGATTGGTGAAGATTAGATTCCGGACACCCAAGGTACACACTCACAAAGTGGGTTCCCCCCCCCCAGGAAGGTCTCCTTTACAACTGGCTTGGGAGAAATTCAC